GGCAACTATGGAATGTCTTCATCTGCAAACGATAATAAAAATTAATTGATTTTTTTTCGCAAAGTATCATAACGTGTACATTCAGTTGTAAATGGATTTGTTGACATGTATGAGTTTACAACAGTAATACGAGGCTCCGTACATGATTGAATGTGTGTTACTCGATGTGCTAATTGACTGCCTAGAATCAAACGACAAAATACATTTATTGTTTCAAGGAATAATTTTTCTGATTCTCAAGACTTACCTTGCATAAACACACATGAATTGGAACCGAGATAGTTAATTGGTCGAATGAACTCTTTTGGTACTTTACCTTTATATTCTTCAATAAGACGAAATGCTTCTTTAGGCTCGCGTTCAATGAGTTGCAGTTCACCACCAACTGTTTGACTCATATCACATGCAAGCAAAATCACAACGTAGGGTACACTGTCACAATGCCAAGAATCGATATTTCTCTCAGTTGCATAACCAATATTGATATGACTATAGCTATTTTGAAATGCAGTTGGCACGAGATTCACATCTCCTGTCAAACGTGACAAATGTTCAAGTACACGTGGACATCGATTGAAATCTTGAAGCCATTTACTACGATAGCCAGCATTACGAATAAAAGCTGGCCAACGTTCGTTGCTTTGTTGATGTACAAGTTCACGTTGCAAAATTTTGCGTAAAACTTGATAACCTTCATCACTTAGTAGTTGAAATGGACCTGTATAGGCTATTTGACTTTCACCGTTCGATGCCAGTGGTTTGTCGAGTTTAGGAGCTTTTTGTACATGTCGGTAACCATCGAGTAGTACGACAAATTCAGGTTCAGTCGGTGACAAATGAATATCAGGATTGTATGGAGGTTCATCAATTGCAATTTCAAAGTTGGGATGATTGAGAAGAGGAGGTAACGACGTGTAAATGCTGTCAAAAGTCATAGCACTGGTATATTTCTGCAAATAATAAGATATGAAATCAGTTCACAGAAATTTTTGCAATAGATATATCGCTACAGTGACTTAAGTAATTTCAAAAAGCAAATAGTCATTTTAAAGAACATTTGAAAATGAACTTATTATATAAAAATTAAATGCTCTAGCTGTAGAAGCAGGAGATTTAGTAAAGAAAGTTGGTTATATGTGCTTTTGGTTACTCACAAATAAAGGTCAGAGCAGATTAAATGGCAACATAGAGCAGATGACTTTTTTTATCACTTAATACATTGTATTCAAAAATCAAATATGTCATAAAATGCAGCATGAAAAGCTATACAATTTACAAAAATTTTATTTTCTAAAATCAATTAAGTAGTCTCAAAAACATATTAACAATAAAACTCTTGCAAACTTATCCTCCGTGCCTCACTATTTAGTCAGTTACAAACTGGCAAAAATGCGTATAAATGCACTGATAAAAAGAAGTGTTTGTTTTTTTTTACTTACCAACACGACCTAGTTAAAATGAAAGAAAAACGATTACTCTATTTCTTTTTCGTATTCTTACACGTGACTTTAGCCCATGTAAGTAGCTCAGTATTACTCTTGCATGATATTTTCACACTTGTCGTTTTTTTCTCTTTTCATTCGTTTTTACTCAAACCATATTAAATATAGTTTCATCATTGTTTTATCTTGATATAAGGTCACATAATGCAAAATGTTACTCAAAATAATGTTTTTCTTTTTACCTTATCCATGGTTTGATAGCGTTTTTGAATCTGAATCTGAATATCTATTTATTATTGAGTTTTGATCAAGTTTGGAGATGAGTGTAGATCAAATGTTGAAATTGTGTTGACTTTTGTTGAGCATTATAGCCGTTAATTCTATTTATAATTCGAATCTTACTTAGAGCTAATTTTTATTTTATTCACTAGTCCATACAAATTCTAGTATTATTATCATTTTGTAGCTGATTATAATGAAAATAAACGTTGAAAAATTACAAAATTCGATCAATGAAAATCAATATGAATGAGCAAAAAACTGATAAAGTTCTGATTTGTTTCGTTCGTTTGGATCGAAACCAATTTTGCATCTCTTAAACCCATTGGAGGTCGTCACCATATGAATTGCACTAAAACTTTCTTTTTCCAAAATAGATTTTTTTATTTCAATATATATGTAGCACACGTATTAATGCTGTGGAATAGTTTAAGTATCATATGTAGTTACTTTGTACTACGAAATTAGTCACTTGTATAAAGTGCTACAGACAGACATAAGTGAATTTCAGTTTCTAGACTCTGTCCTTTCAGTCTATGGAATTCATTTCACATAGAATAAAGTCAAGTGTTGATGAATGATGGTTTTTTATATATAATACTCGATAGAACTGCTATGTGGCATTATTGAATTCCACAAGAAGTCGCATCTAGAGAGGCCGGTATATCATCAATAGATTTCACCAAGACCTTGGAAATTTGTTTCCTTAAAAATCCAATGATGATACTGAAAAGTTGAAGCTTATAGTTCATATATTATGATGTTTATATCCAAATAATACATAACTTAAAAATTCAATATCTCTGTTCAACTACACGATGAGCAGCCTATCTTTTAAATTTTCTAGTTTCTCAGTGAAAGCTATCATTTGACCTGAATAAGGTCAATCAATTAGCGCAACAGTACAAACCCTTCCACTTTTTTAGCGAAATAAAAGAAGACATAACTTATTCAGTTGTACATATGATTCAATGTTAAGCCATTCGATTTTATGATAAATTTTAGAAAGAATTT